ACAGGGAGATTCGCACGGAGTCATGCTTAATCAACATGAGGGCCCTCATCGAATGCGCTTCTGATGAGTAAGCTTTGCGCCTCTTAGGTAGTAAGTTTGTTTTATTTCCTGCGTGCCCGACTTTGGTTTGATATGCTAACTTCGTTTATTTCTCTTTTTCAAGAAAGATGTCTAGGATGCACGAGCGTGTGAAGAGGTTGGTGGCCACCAAGGCCGATAAGAAATCGGGCAAGGGAAGGGTAGCACAAGTGCAACAGATGCCCGATCCAGATTCTCGGCTCGGCGGGTCGTCTTCCTCTCCCAGGGTAGTCAGTCTTCCTCCTCGCAGGGCACGCCAAAGATAGTGCGACTATCGGGTCCAAAAACCGTTGATTTCATTGAAGGGGGCACCGAGGAGAGGTTTGTCCTCCCACCCTGTCACTTGCGGCCACCATTCTTCAATGGGGCAAACTCTCCCGTGGTGGGCGCCGCGGAGGCCAAAGCTGTTCTAGGTGCTGACATGTAGACGAGAAAGAAGAATTTTTTGGAGGACCCGACCATAGTGATTCGGGTCTTGGAGAGGAACATGGTTCTCAATGATGAGGCCTGCTCCTCGACTGATTTCTCCAAACTACAGGTCGACTTGGCGACTGTCAAGGCGGAGAGGAGCAAATTGGATGCTGGCGGCCAGATGAAAGAAGACAGCGTAGCCCATCGCAAGCTATACGATGAGGAGGAGAAACAACTGAAGGTCGTAGGCAAGGAAAAGACGAGGCTTATGGCACAGATCGATGAACTGGAGGCAGTTTCGCGTCTGCGGAAGACGAGACCGAGGAAGAAAGGCGGATGGGAACTCGGGCTGCCCTGCTGTGCACGGATTTGGGAGCTCGAGAAGGATTTCTTGAGGGCGCTTGAGGTGGGCTATGACAACACCGTGGAGAAGCTCCGACTTGTGAACCCAGACGTCCCTTTTACTATGTCAGAGACAGGGCCTTTCCATCAAATTATTGCAGGTCGTGTGGTTGCCCCAGAGCCTGACAAGGAAGACGAGGCTCCGGCCGAGGATGGTGGCGTGTAGGAAGATGCCTCTTAGTTTGTTTATTTTTTCTGGCCTGCGTGTCTGTTTTGATTTTTTTTGGCCTGCGCGCATATTTTGATTTTGAGATGTATTGTCGGGCCGACGTGTCCCTTTATCTAACTATGTACAATGGGTCCTGCCCGTTTCTTCTCGAATGAATCTTGTTATTTTCTACTGCCTGCAACTTCAGCCCAAAACACCCTTTCTAATCCAGCCCTAACCAACATGCATTTAACCCTTTCAAGGATAGTTCGATTAAATCTTTCATCCAAGCCATTTTGTTGAGAAGTTCCTGCTATATTCTTGTGCCTCGTTATACCAAACATAACACAATACTTGTTGAAATTTTTGTTGCATAACTCAAGGTCATTATCGGTTTTCAACCTCTTGAGCTTTCTACCAATCTGGTTTTCGATTTGAGTCTTCCAATTTTTGAAGTAACTGCTACAATCTTATACCTCGTTATACCAAACAAAGCACAATACTTGTTGAAAGTTTCATTGCATAACTCAAGGTCATTATCGGTTTCAACCTATTGACCTTTTTGCTAGTCTGATTTTCGACTAGAGTCTTCCAATTTTTGAAATTCTAAAAAGTTTCATCCTTAGTATTTTGAGTGAACATCCATAACTTTCTAGAATAGTCATCAAATATAGATAGAAAATATCTTTCTTCTGAGTGTGAAAGATTTCTTGCATGTCCCCACAGATCAGCATGAATGTAATAAAGGGATCCATGCGTTCTTTGTTTTCCTTTATTGTACTTCACTCTGCAGGCTTTACCAAACACACAAGGTTCATAGAACTCCAGCTTTTCGACCTTGTCACCACCTAGCAGATTTTGTTTCCCCAGTTCAATCAAGCCCTTTTATTTGACATGGCCTAATCTCATGTGTCATAGCTTTGTATTCGACACACATTTCATGGTTGTAATACCAGCTGATCCACTTACAACCTCAGCCTCAAGGGTATACAAGTCTTGCTTCCTTATGCCTCTCAAGACTTCGTTTGATCTCTTCATGGTTTTTAGGATACCATGTTCTTCATTGAAAACATATCCTTTCTTGTCGAATTCCCCAAGAGAAATAAAATTTCTCTTCAGATCAGGTACATACACGATATCAGTCAATAACCTTATTGACTCATGATGGAGCTTGAATATGACATAATTCAATTTCTATAATCTTGTAGGCTCTATTTTTTTCCAGCGGCACTGGTCCACCATCTTGATCACATAATTCCTCAAACATGTATTCGTTTGGAGTCATGTGCCAAGTACATCTGAATCCATAATCCACTCCTTGCTAAAGTTGCTACTTGAAAGTACCAGGACATCAGATGATTCATAATCATCTTGCATAATGTATGCATTACCATTACCATTAACATTATGATTATTCAGACGTTCGAGGCACACCTTTCTTGTATGACCCTTCTTCTTACAATGATAACACCTAATAGCAGAAGCATTACCACCATAAGAATTTTGTAGAACTTTACTCTTCTTCCTCTCATACATACAATATTTCTTTGAGAAATTTCCTTTAACGGATAAACCTTCTCCAACAGATGATGGCTTTTTCTCTTTTATTTCGTTCAAGTCATTCGAGTACAACGTTGATTGAACTTCTTCAAAGGTCAAACAATTTCTTCCATACAAGAGAGTTTCTTTGAAGTGAGCATGAGATCTTGGTAAATAACACAAGAGCAAAAAAGGTTGATCTTCATCATCAAGCTTGACCTCGATATTCTCAAAATCAAGGATCAACTTTTTGAACATATTCAACTACTCAACCAAGACTTTGATCTTCACTCATCTTGAATGAATACAAAACTTGCTTAAGGTAGAGATGATTGACAAAAAAATTGATCATATACAAACCTTCGAGTTTGCTCTACACACTTGCTGCAGTTTTCTCCTTTGAAACCTACCTCATAACCTTACACCAAGGCTTAAGATGATTGCACCGTGAGTTTTCTCCACCACCATTGTCTTTTCTTTCTCTACTAAGGAAGCAACCATCTTCTCTGATCCTTTCAACGCTTCTAACAAATCCTACTATACCAGAAGAGCTTGCATCTTCAAGCGCCATAAATCAAAATCATTCACTTCAATGAATTTCTCAATCTCATACTTTGTTATAACATCTTGATTCACGCTCACCACACCAGTTTTTTTGTGACAATCGCTGCACCAGGAACGAAGCAATCATGTGAGAAAGAGAGGTTTTCTTGAACAAACACAAGAAACCTATTCAGTTATAGAGAGAGAGAGAGAGAGAGAGAGAGAGAGAGGGAGGACATAGTTGGTTATGACAACTTTCCTATTCACTTTCTCCAAATTAGAGTTTTCATATTACAAGTGAATAACAACTTAACCTCCTACTCTAACACACTATAATAAAACCTATATATAGACTCCTAGTATATGTATGACATGTATGATGATAACACCCATACATGACATACATAACAAATGTATATAACTAACTTAAGTCAATTTGCAGGCTTGAATTGACTTCAACTACAACATACACATTTCGATCGAACCATGACGCTTCCCTTGCCGAGACTAGAATTTGATCCAAAATACCACCTTATGAAATATTCATACGTTAAAGATGAAATCTATATTTTTTTACAGAGAAATTTTTAATGCTCGCCCATATGACAGTGGGCAAATACTTATTAGTCCTTCTTGATTAACATCAACAATCGTAAATGCAAAAAAATGATAATAAAACTAAAATTGTGGAAATTTAAAATATAAAAACTATTTTTTTATGTGTGGAGTAAAATAGAAGAATAAAAACTGTGATTTAATTTAAATAATTTTTATAAAAAAATTTATTTGCAGAGATATAAAGACATAATAAAAAATTGGAACTTAATTATCTTATTAGCAATAAAGATTTGTTCATTATATGAATTAAACGTTTCAACAAGTTCAATGAATTATTTGATATTTTATTTTTAAATAAATAATAGTAAAATGTTGAAGTGCAAAAAAATTATAATTTATATAATTATTTTGGTTTAATGGCAAAGAAATAAAAATAAATTTAAAAGAATAGGCTAATAACACATATTTATATGATTAGCATTTTAATATTACTCTTAGTATTATTTTGAAGAGAACACCTTAGTTTATAGGAATAACATTTTTCTCACGGTCAATTTAGAAGTACATAAAAAAACACAATTATGTCTGGGATTAGATTTGAATAAAAATATTTGTTTTTTTTTAGAAAATTTTAAAATTAGTCAATTATATATATATAATAATTAAATATTAATGCTCATCATTTTTAATAAAAAATTTTGTTGGTATTTTAATTTTTTTAATAAATATTACAACTTATTTATATTAATATAAATATAAATAAATATTAACAACAAGATAAACAACTTACACTAAATTATAAAAAAAATTATTGATGATTATTTTTCCTTATTTTGGTTTATCCTAAATTTATCTTGAGATTTCATTTAAGAAACGACCTTTAATATATATTTGTATTAAAAATATAATTTTATTATTTCTAATTAATTTTAATAAAATATTATATCTGTTTTTAATTTCTTGGTTATGATAAAATAGAAATTTTATTAAAAATAATAAGAGATTGAGGTGTCTATAAATCATTTTGGGAAAGTCGATGGAAGATATATATTAGAGATAACTCAAAATTGTAGGAATAAATAATGTCCATATAATTAGATTGCACTGTCACTAAGTTTTGGCTTTTATGTGCCGTGCTTCTCTCAGTTCCATCAATGGACTTGACTTTTGAATTTAATTTCTCGTTTTTTTTCTGTGAAGTTATTAAAAACTTAAATTTGCATTCAGATATAGCTCTTGCTACTAGTATATAAATGCATGCAATTCCTCTCTATTCTCCCATAACTATCCAACACAAACAAAACTAGATACCATAAACCAAATGAAGTATTTTTCTTTCGTGTCACCTATACTTTTGTATCTTCATTTGCTTTTTCTGTTTACCTTAACTTTAATATGCTTTGGTTCAAACAAAATTGTGGCAGTGACGATACTAGGAAACCAAACAGATCATTTGGCATTGCTTAAATTCAAAGAATCAATATCCATTGATCCATATAGAACTCTTGAATCTTGGAATTCTTCCATCCACTTCTGCAGCTGGTTTGGAATCACATGTAGCCCCATGCATCAAAGAGTTATAGAGTTGAACTTATATGGATCTGAACTACATGGATCTTTATCTCCCTATGTTGGCAATCTCACTTTTCTGAAAATTCTCTTCCTAAGAAACAACAGCTTCTTTGGAGAAATTCCACACGAATTGGGTCACTTGCTACACTTGCAACAACTTTTTCTCACCAATAACTCATTTTCAGGTGAAATTCCTACAAACTTGACATATTGTTCCAATCTCACACACTTGTATTTGGGACACAACAATCTAATTGGCAAAATACCAATTGAAATTCGATCTTTGAAAAAACTCCAATTTTTTGATGTTTCCGAAAACAATTTAACTGGAGGAATCCCTTCATTCATAGGGAATCTTTCAAGCTTAGAGCGTTTTACCTGTGCAGCTAACAATATAAAAGGAGATATTCCGCAAGAAATATGTCGCCTTAAAAACTTGTCATTTTTACTTTTAGGTGAGAACAAATTGTCTGGTATCATTCCTTCTTGTCTTTTCAACATCTCATCACTTACTACTATTTCCATTGCACTGAATAACTTTCATGGTCCTCTTCCACTCAGCATGTTCAACACCCTCCCCAATCTTCAAGTGTTTGAAATTGAAAAAAATCAGTTTTCAGGTCCAATCACTTCCATAATAAATGCATCTTCCATTAGAATACTTGCTTTAAATGGAAATCATTTTGTGGGACAAGTTCCAAGTCTAGGAAGGCTAAAAGATATAGATATTTTGAATTTGGAACTCAACCAGTTAGGTAACAGTTCATCTAAGGATTTAGAGTTTTTAAATTCTTTGACAAACTGTACTAAACTGAGTGTCTTTTCTATAGGCCAAAATAATTTTGGAGGCATTCTGCCAAACTCTATAGGAAATTTATCCACTGTGATTAAAAAACTAATTTTTGGGGATAATACGATATCAGGACAAATTCCTCCTGAACTGGGACGTCTCGTTAGCTTAATTCTCTTGGAAATGGGAAACAACCAACTTGAAGGAAATATTCCAACTACTTTTGGGAAGTTTCAAAATATGCAATGGTTATCTTTGTCCGGAAATAAACTTTCAGGAGATATACCACCTTTTATAGGCAATCTTAGTCAATTGTTTCATTTGGAAATACAAGCTAATATGTTTAGAGGAAATATTCCTCAAAGCATAGGAAACTGTCAAAATTTACAACATTTAGACCTTTCCCATAACAAGCTTAGAGGAACCATACCTTTAGAGGTGTTTAATCTTTTTTCTTTATCAAACTTACTGGACTTGTCACATAACTCTTTCAGTAGTAGCTTACCAGAAAAAGTGGGTATGTTAAAAAATATTGGTAGGCTAGATGTCTCTCATAATCATTTGTCGGGAGATATTCCAATATCTATTGGGGAATGCACAGTCTTAGAATATCTTTCTTTGCAAGGTAACTCTTTCAATGGAACAATACCACCCTCTTTGGCTTTTCTCAAAGGTCTTCAATATTTAGACCTTTCAATAAATCGGTTTTCTGGAACAATTCCTGATGTTATACAAAATATCTCGGGTTTAAAATACTTGAATGTTTCTTTTAACATGTTGGAAGGTGAAGTACCAATATCCGGTGTCTTTGGAAATGCAAGCCTAGTAGCAATGATTGGAAACAAAAAACTTTGTGGAGGTATTCCACCGATGCGCCTACCAGCTTGCTCCGTCAAGGATAGGGAACACCCAAAACACCATAAGTTCATGTTTGTAGTTATTGGTGTGATTTCTCTTCTTCTTCTCATAGTTTCAATTTTTCTAACTATTTATTGGATGAAGAAAAGAATCCAAAAAAAATCTTTTCATTCACCAATAATTGATCAACTAGATAAGGTTTCATATCGAGACTTACATCAAGGAACAAATGGTTTCTCAATTACAAACTTGATTGGATCGGGGAGTTTTGGTTCTGTGTACAAAGGAAATCTTGTGTCAGAAGACAATTTTGTTGCCATAAAGGTCTTCAATCTCCAGAAGAAAGGAGCTCGTAAGAGTTTCATTCTTGAATGCAATGCACTCAAAAATATTAGACACCGAAATTTAGTCAAGATTATAACATGTTGTTCAAGTTCAGATTATAAAGGTCAAGAATTTAAAGCTCTAGTCTTTGATTATGTGAAAAATGGAAGCTTAGAACAATGGTTGCATCCTGAGATTTCAAATGTAGAGAATCAAACATCATTGGACCTAACTCATAGAGTCAACATCATTACCGATGTTGCTTCAGCATTACATTATCTTCATCAAGAATGTGAACAGTTGATCATTCATTGTGATCTAAAGCCAAGTAATGTACTTCTTGATGATGACATGGTTGCTCATGTGAGTGATTTTGGCATAGCAAGACTTGTTTCATCCATTGACGGTACTTCTAATAAGGATACCAGTACAATTGGAATAAAAGGGACTGTTGGATATGCTCCTCCAGGTATGATCTTAATTCTTGAATCTTGTATTGTTTCTTTGAATTCTCCTATGTTTTGGTGCACACTTAATAATTTATTAGTGATACAATTTCAATGACTCTTGCTGCATGTTTAAGAGTACGGAATGGGCTACGAAGTGTCTACATGTGGTGACATGTATAGCTTTGGAATCCTGATGTTGGAAATGCTTACCGGTAGAAGACCCACCAATGAAGTTTTTGAAGATGGCCAAAATCTGCATAACCTTGTCGCAGTTTCGTTTCCTAACAATCTTATAAATGTTTTGGACCCGGGGCTTGTACCAAGAGATGCAGAAGTAGAAATACAAGATAGAAATCGTGAGAATGCTATTCAAACTGTTGAGGAGTGCTTAGTTTCACTTTTTAGAATTGGACTTAATTGTTCAATGGAACCACCAAAGGAACGGATGAATATTGTGGATGTCACTAAAGAGCTTAGCATCAGAAAAACTTTGTTTGCTGGTGAGATAAATTTATATTTTTATATGTTTATTTAAATCATTACTAACTCATTCACTCCTTATGGAATCATAATTTGATTTTTATAAGCATATTACTAAACTACAAAATTCATTGTTATTAATTGACATCTTACTTGATTTGATATGTAGGTGTTCGCACTTATAATTAGTAATTCACTGTTGTTGAGTAACTGAATGATCTCGAAGAAAGCGACATTTACCTTTTTGTTATTCAAGAAATTATGTTAGCAGCATTTGATTTTGAGTGTTTGTGTCCAATGTACATTTGTTTGCAACCTATACTAGTTGCAATAAATAATTATTGTTGTATTGCTTTCTAATTCAATAATGTGAGAATTGATACTTTTTCATATTTATCTTCATCCATCTATTATGTATTTCAGTTCCCTTAAAACTACAACTATAGATGAAATGCAATATCATATTGAAATGACCTTTCTATTAATACACCAAACACTACTCATGTTAGCAACTATTACTTCCTTAGTTGTAATAAGTTCTTAAAATGGAATGTCCAATATTCTAAAGATATCAATAAAGATCAATTAAGATAATTAAAATATATACCATGTGATTGTGATTTTTTTGAGATCTATAATATAAAAAAATAATATGATGTGGAAAACACTCTTATGCACTTTTCTTAAAATTGGACACATAATTGAATTGAGGGTATTTTATGTCTAAAATTTACTTTATACAACCAAACTACCACTTTTAAATATTTCGTTCAGTATCAACTATTAATATTTTTTTATTTTACTTAAATAACACATAGTTGTCTTAGTAGTAGTTTCAAACTAACTTTTAAGTTCAAATCTTTAAAATGTTTCGGTTCCTAATGCAACATTTTGTACAACAAAACAATATTGCAAAAATAGATTTCTACCAACCCTCATTTTTCTATCTCCAAACACATTGTACTTTCATCTTCTCTATCTTGTCTCTCCAACTACTAACATCTTCATTTTAATTTTTTCAATTTGCAACATCAGGTAATCTGAAAAAACACAAAGTTTGTCCTTACATCACACAAACATGCTTCCTTCATCTTCATTCTTTTTGATTTTTTATTTTTCAGGATAGAAAATTTGTTCACAGATTTTGTTGTTTTGATTTCAAACGAAAAAAGATGGAGATCTACTTTTGGGTTGTGGATTCGATTTAAAACAAAAGAGATGGAGATCTACTATTGGATATGTGGATTCAATTTCAATTTCTGTGTTCTTCTATCTTTATTTTTATCTTCCCTAAACCCTATTTTTTACTCTTTTTCCGTTCATCAATGTTACCAAATTTTAATCTTATTTCTTATCGTCATTGGATAAGGTATGTCTGGCTGTTCAACACGGAGTGTGTTTTTTACAGAAAAAAAAATTAAGATTGGTTGCAGGAAGTGGTTCATTTGGAGATGAGTAAATTTTCTATGAAGGTGAGATTATTTTCTAAGTACACTATAGGTTGCTTTTATAATTTCTTGACAAGATTATTTAAGAATGTCCTTGATATTTGTTTGGATGAATTATGTTATAAGAACTTGTGAATACGAAATAGCTATAATGATTCTTTGGGATGTGTTGTGCAGATTACCAAAAGATGGTAGACAAGTGGAAATGTTGTTGATGAGGTTTATCTGAACGATGAGGTTTAATGAATTTTGTAAATGTTTTTTGTTAGCATGCTTTGATTATGGCAGTAACAATTGTAGTTGTGTGCTGAAAATTGAATTCGATGATATAAGGTTGTTGAGACTTTAATTGTAGCCAATGTGACTTCAATTGTAGTTGCATTGCAATTTCGATGAGAGTCCAATTGTCGACAATGCGACTTCAATTGTAGTTCATTGTAGTTTCGATATGACTTCAGTTGCAGACAATGCGACTTCTATTAAAATATCATATCAATGATTTATGATAAATAAAACTCATTATTTATCGTCATTAGGTATAATGTGAACTTATACTTGTCCCTTTTTGTAGTAGTCATGTTTTGTTGTTCAGATCTGGCTTTGAGGAGGACAAGAATTTCGATGTTGTTTTAAATTCTATAATAGTTGGCCGTTATCATGTCACCGAGTATCTAGGATCTGCTGCATTCAGTAAAGCAATTCAGGCTCATGACATGCATACAGGTGTGGATGTTTTTGTTAAAATTATAAAGAGCAACAAGGATTTCTTTGACCAAAGCCTTGATGAGATCAAACTACTTAACTATGTCAATAAGCATGATCCTGGAGATAAATATCGTTACTGGTCTTATTAATACTATTACATTTTCCTTTCAATCAATTGTAGTGCACATTCGATATTGCCCTTCCTAGGAAATTTTAACATTAACTTATTAACAATGTTAGTTCATTGCAGTTTCGATATGACTTCAATTGCATACAATGCGACTTCTATTGTAGTTGCATTACAATTTCGATTAGACTTCAATTACCGACAATGCGACTTCAATTGTAGTTGCATTGAGGATGCAAACAACTCACTCACTAGATTGAATGGTATTGCTCATGATGGTTTAGCGCTTCTTTCTTCTCTGTATTTCAACATGGATGAAAACAGTTCCATGCTTATCAACTTATGCTATTAAATGGTTCTACATATTTATGTGCTTATTAAAATGAGGTTTTATAGCTTTGTGTTGTGAATCAGATACCTTAGAAGAAAGTATAAAACGATTTCTTCTTGATCAAGAAACACACAAGGTTAGGGTTAACAAAGAAAACAAGGTAAAACAACAAGTAACAACAAGGATTGATTATAAACTGTTATTCTTTTCTTTCTCTTAAAACAAGATTACAACTATACAAGAATAACAAAATAATCTCTCTCACTTGAAATTATGATTTTATCTTCCTATTTTTCCTTATGCCAAGATTGAAAAATTAGCATCCTATTTATAAGAAAAAGTAGCACACTAACCTAATGGACTTTTTAACAATTATCCATTACAAGCTAACTTAGGGTACAAGCTAACTTAAACACTTGGGCTTACAAGCAAGTCCCAATCCAATATACTAACAACCTAGCAATATTGATTAATGCCTGTAAGGACAAGCCTCGACTACAACACGCAATACTCCGACAACAGCATGCGAACAGACTTTGACCTCATGCTTAATTCATGTCAAATCAGAAGCTACCCTTCGACCATACTATAGTTCGATCAAATATATCATAAATCTCCACCTTGGATATAACACTATAACATCAAGAAACTAGCTTTCTTCATGCAGCTTTATCAACTGCATACAGTGGAAAAACTTGCAACTGAGAAACTTCTTGGTGATCATATCAGCAGCATTCAAACATACTTCGACCTTGTTGCTTACTATTAGAATATCATCCATATAGAGAAACAAAATAAACAATGAATTACCCGGTCGAAATCTGAAGTAAACACAGTGGTTGAACTGACATCTGATGAAACTTATGCGTGCCATGAACTTGTCGAATCTCCTATTCCACTGTCGAGGAGATTGTTTCAATCCATATAAGGATCTATTCAGATTTCACACATAATCTTCCTTCCCTTTTTCGACATACCCTTCAGGTTGCTTCATCAGGATTATTTCATCTAAATCACCATACAAGAACGCAGTCTTCACATCCATCTATTCCAGTTCAAGGTCGAACTGTGTCGCTATGGCAAGAAACATTCGAATGGATATGTGTTTCACAACAGGAGAGAACACATCATTAAAGTAGGCACCTTCTTTCTGAGTGAACGCCCTAGCAACCAATCTTGCCTTGTATCTCTTTGATGCCACTCCTTCGATTCCTTCATTAACTTTGAAAATCCATTTACAGTTGACTAACCTGGCTCCAGCAGGTTTCTTGATCAGTTCCCAGGTGTTGTTATCATGAAGATATTTTATCTCATCATCCATGGCCTTCAGCCATTCAGTCTTCTTTCGACTCCTCATAACTTCTTTATAGTTTCTAGGTTCTTCGTCTAGAAACTCACTTGCAGAGATTAAGGCACAAGCTATAAGATCTGCATACCCAAGTCTATGAGGTGGCTTGATCACTCTTCTCGACCTGTCTCTTGCTAGCAGGTAGTCATTATCAGTCTCCTCATCTTCAAAAACATCTTCTACGTCTTCTTCGACTTCATTTGGGGTACAAATTCAGCATCAACATGCTTCACCTTAACAGGAATCTTTCCCTGTTCCAACTCTTCGTCAACATCATTAGTTTTCTTGAAAGCCATCTATGCTTCATTAAAAACTACATCTCGACTGGTGACACACCTCCTGTGACCAAGCTCTAGGCACCATAGCTTATAAGCTTTGACTCCTTTAGGGTATCCCACGAACATGCATTTCAGAGCTCTAGGTTCGACCTTGTCTTTCCTAATATGAGCATAGGCCACACAGCCAAATACTCTTAGTCTGTCAAGACTAGATGGATGTCCCGACCAAACTTCTTCAAGTGTCTTCATTCCCAAGGCAGTCGAGGGACACCTATTTATCAAGTAAGTTGCTGTAGAAACAACTTTCACCCAAAACACTTTCTTCAATCCAGCACTAACCAACATGCATCTAACCATTTCAAGAATTGTTTGATTGAATCTCTCAGCTAAGCCATTTTGTTGAGGAGTACCTGATACAGTCTTATGCATTGCAATCCCAAAATCAACACAGTAACTGTCAAACGCTTCGTTGCAGAATTCAAGGACATTGGCGGTTCTCAACCTCTTAACCTTTCTGCCAGTTTGAGTTTCGACCAGAATCTTCCAACTTTTGAAATTCTCAAAAGTTTCATCCGTCGTCTTTTGAATGAATACCCATAGCTTTCTGGAATAGTCATCAACGATGGATAAAAAATACCTTGCACCTGAGTGTGAAGGATTCCTTGCAGGCCCCCAAAGATTAGTGTGAATGTAATCCAAAGATCCATGTGCTCTTTGCTTGCCATTGTTAAACTTCGCCCTAAAGGATTTATCAAATACACAAGATTCACAAAACTCTAACTTTTCGACTTTGTCACCTCCTAGCAGGTTCTGCTTCCCCAATTCGACCAGGCCTCTTTCGCTGACATAGCCCAATCTCATGTGCCATAATTCTGTCTTCGACACAGATTTCGTTGATGTAACATTTGTCAAACCACTTACAACCTTAACATCAAGGGTATACAAGCCTTGT